TAAAATGCCAGACCAAATACGAGGCCTATAAAACCAATTCCGACTTGTATGTCTTTCGAAACCAAGTGAGTTAAAAGTTTAAGGACAAAGTTATCGTGCTGTAAGAGATCGAAACCAGAAAAGTATTCTAAAGTCACCCCGTGCTCTGACCTTCGACCTTAAGTTCAAATTCAAGCAAGTTTTACAATCCAAGAACCAATAAGACATAAGCTTGAAAATTTGAAGGGAACGACACCTAAAATTCACTTCCAAACGCTTTTTGCTCAAGCTTTTTAGGTCCAGACTCATTTCGACATTCTAAAACCAAGGAGCAATCCAAGTTAGAAATCTCTTTCAGTTGGTCAACACTGGAATTTCCGACGAAACTAAAAAACTGAAAACAAGTCGCCCAACGTCCCTACTCTTGACTTCATACTTACTGTATTTTAATAAGCCACAATCAAATCTAAGATTCCTGCTAATAAAGTCACAGTCAAAACCCCTTCCGTATTTGCTCTCTATGAAAGATAGAGGCACTCAAGAAGTGGCTCGAGTGGAAGCAAATGCCAATAGCAACTGCCTTCTAGCAAAGCTGTCGATGGCTTCCTCTTTACTAAAAAAATATTTTAATGCTGGAAGAAAAAAAATGTTGGTAAATTGCTTGTAAGCAAGTTGGCAGTGTGTTTGACTTCATGGAAAACGCGCCAATATCAATTTACTATCGAACTGAAGAGAGATTAAATATTTAATATTAGATACCAAGTTGCTAGGTTTTTTTACAAGTTCGAAGATCGGATAACCATGAAAAACCCGTATATCATAAAAACAGAAAGCGCTTGCACTCATGAGCTAATATTCCCTGTAGCTGAAAATCTTGCGGTACCTCATTCTACTGCTCTATCACTGTGTCGTGGTTGTTTTCCTCGTTTTTCTTTGTTTTAAGCACTCATCCCTCTATGTCAACAGTGGAGGTGGGTTGCTTACGTCAGACCCCACCGAGTCTGCTTTTTTGAAGTTTTTTTTTGTAGAAACAATAATAAAACGCGTTTTGGTAAAACAATGATTTTTTCTGTTTATTTTCTGTTTGCTCTTTGACTATTTGACGTGTGATTCTTCTCCGCGGCTATGAAAACTGAGAAGCTGGTGTGCAAATGTACCGCCCTCGACCATATATACTGATACAGGCTTTATTAGTTCATTCAACTGTTGTTTTTCATAAAAAAAATAGGTGAAGTGAAGAAAATTTATATAAGTGGTCGTGGTTGCAATTGTCGTTGACCCTCATTCATCCGTATGCAAATGACCAGTGGCTTGGCAGTGCCTCGAAAATATGAAGATGTCTTTGTAAGTGCACATGCAAAAGGGTGATAGTGCGCAAGTCAGTGAAATCTATTCTGTAGTACCATCCAATATGTGCTGCTTAAATAGCGCTAAACAAGAGTTCTAGATCCGTGCTGCATTCCGAGTAGTAAAAAACTGTGATGTGGTTGTTAGGTATGAGTGTGCTGGGCACTGTATTTGTAGAAGTTGGAACATTGCTTCGGGGTTTGTGCCCTGAGGGCATTGTGCTGAACACTTATCACCCCTCGGCCAGTCGGTCGGTCGGTCATTGGCCGTATCAAATTTGAAGTTTATTCTCACGAAGACTTTTTTTCCGGACTGTTCAAATGTCTAATCGCGTTTATCTGCCCATTATTCCTTGACGTGCCTTAGGCGATTCTTGCTTTATGCAAGAAGTGGACTGACTTGTCGAGTGCCAGGGAGTCACATCCGCCATTAGTTTACTTATAAGCAATTCTCGAAAGAGGGAGCCATCAAGAGTCTGACCAACGAATGATTGATGTTGACATTTGCCAACACTCGTGTTACTTCCCGAATATCTTTATCTGTCCTACACAGCGAATACGAAAGGGTTTTTTAAATAGACCTAATGTGTTTTTGCGTAATTGAGAATAGTTTGGTCAGCAACCATATTTTTTGAAGTGCATGTGTTTTTCATCAATATGCGTCTGTCAGTTAATTTTACTCGAGAAATGAGGGAGCATGAAAGCTAAAATGTCGGGAATACAACTCCGACCATGTCCCCGAGACCTTCAAACTGAGCTGATTTCAGGGCTATCTTCTCGACTTGGAATTATGACCAGTTTCCTAAGTTGAGAATGAACAAAATTGCGACTAGGAGTCACGCAGTTTTAATTTATCGCGCTACAGGAGCTGTACTAGCGTAGTGATCACCGAGATCATCCAAATTGCTGGTGCGTGTATGTTGCAGGAACGAAGTGCGTTTGCATCAGATTTCAGTGATTTTGTCAGAATTCACTAGCCCCCTTCTGATGGCAGTCGGTGAACAAAAACGGTTTGTCTGCTTCCATCGGTTTGCTGCTCGTCCAGGGCCATTTGAAAGGGCGCTTTGAAATTTTTTGCGAATGCTGGCATCGATTGGATGAATATCGCAGCTGGACAAGGATAAGCTCGCATTCTCTTTCATCTGTTTGAATTGCCTCGTTCTTGTATCGACAGC